AAAGCGGGGAGAATGGCGCTAGGCTAACTGCACCGTGACGTCACTGCTGGAAGATGGCAGGAGGGAGGGGCTACTATATTTGGGCAAAGATGGCCGCTCCCAGACTCGGTGATCGTGATGAAAATTATTGTTGTTTTTTTTAACGATTACCACTAAATTCAATAACTCGCTGCGAACGTATTAGTTTTAGGTATAAATAATGACTGATTATTGATTGCTGACCGGAACAAGTTTATTATAAATTAACCTTTTCTACCTGCTGTAAATATTGATTTAGCAAGAACTCTAAACACATTAAATCAGCTGTTATGATCAGTTATTTATTACTTAAATATCCTTTTTGGTACTTTTACTTGAGTAAAACTATGATGGAGTAGGACTTTTTTTTTTGTCTACTCTATCAGCCAATTACAGTTCTCAGTAGAGACGTTGCCCCTAGCAACAGGGTCAACCCCACCTCCTCCAGACTAAGGTCAGAATTGTCTCCTTCTCAGTCCGATTCCCTCTTGAGGTGAACTAACAGACGCTTAAGGCGGCGCCAGCAGAGAAACGGGTCCAGACGTTCCATCAGAACGGTTCTGACGATGAACGGAGGTCGTTAATGTGTCACAGAGTTCCCGCCTCCCTATTTAAGGTCATGTTTGTGCTCTGAATTCAGACCAGAACCTTTCAGCGAGCTTCTGGGGTTCGGTTCTGAACCGATGGTGTTCTGTTACAGAGTGAAGCCCGGTTCTGACAGCTGAACATTTCAAAAAATTACAACATAAAGAAGATGAACTGTTTGGTCTGAGAACATCAGGAGAACCAATGAAAGGAAGAATCAGTTTCAAAGGAAAATGGTTCATTTAAATCATTGAGAGGTTCTGTTGTTCCCGTTAAGCGGGTCCATTTTTTGAGATGCCTTAATTTATTGTTGACAATTCAGATTCCTTCCTGGTTCTCCTGATGGCCGACGGGTTCCTTCTCTAGTTAGAATGGAGACCTATGTTTGGTAGAAGTTCTACTAAAGACAAGGAGAGACACTCACCATGGAGACGTTCCTCCGCCTGTTGGAGCCCCGCCTGAGAACCACAGACACACAGATGAATGCATGTTTATGGAACATTTCAAACACATTTAGAACCCGTTTAATCCTGCCTTCAGAACCTGATATAGAATCACTTAGAGCATGTAAAGAACCTTTGTGTAGAATCAGTTAAAGGACACTGGGAGACCTTTATAAACAAACATTGTTCTAGTGGTTAGAGCAGTGCGCTTATGCTCTATGAAGGTTCCAAGTACCCGGTTCCATCCCCACAGCCGGGACTCTGGGTTCCTGAGGAAAACCATTAAAGTCGTAGGGAAGCGGCC